TAAACCTGAGCTGCACTTCTCAGGTCACATGTTCCATTTCATTTTTAAAGAATCTAGAAACAAACTAAGCAGTTGATAACAGGTCAGTTGCAGGTGATAAAAGAGATTTTAGATGGGACATTACTTCTTTTTTCCACACCTGGCATAACCACATTACATGCTTTGAAGAGTTGTCTTTAAGCACTGGTATGTTTGTTCATAAACATATGGCATAAACAATACATTGCTATTTGAATTCTAAGAACACAATACATTTTTAAAGATCATCACCATATGTCATAGATTCTTCACTGGAAAAAAATATTGATGTTAGAATTTTTTTTAATTTAAACAAAAAAAGGCTGACATTTCTAACTGAAGTTTACCATTAAAATATAGTGGGTCTTGCAAAACAGGACTACTTGTTTCAATATTGTTTGTAGATTTGATATTGGAGGGATTTGAGAATCAAGTGTGTAAAGTACTCTTGAAATTCTCTTACAATTTTTTTTTTTGTAAAAAATACCCCACAAAGTTATGAAGACTCTTTTAGAAAAAGTGGTGTTATATATGGTATTCACACTCTGAAGAAGGTAAAATAAGTCTGGCTACTAAGCATCCTAAATTTTAATCAAGCCATTATTTTTAATAACTATGTGCTATAAAAGGCCAGATTTTTATCTAGTTAGCAATTGAGGAGTCCAGCACTTGTCTTAAATTGTGAATAACTATGAATCATATTAATTATAGCTATCCTCAAATTTATTAAGTACACTGAACATAACTGCAAATTTTGTTTCTAAAAATATGTTATGCAGGCTCTCCTGTGGGTTGTTGACCCTGCGGAAGTGCTTAAAAAATGCTGTATAGTTATTGTTTTTTAGATTATTATGCTTTTTGAAGCTAAGACAGATGTACAAAAAGATGCAGTTTTTATTTTGTATTGGCAGCTTCCAAATATTTAGTATCTATTTCCAAGAGCTGCAATTAGTAAAGCATCCATGGTACTGAAATCCACACATCCCACAAGCTAATTATATTTGCAAGGTCAGATTGAATACATATTTTCAGAAAAATAAAGGGTTATATAAATGTGTCTTCTACTTGGCTGTTATATCACAGTTTGTTGATCTGGAGTATAATGTGTACAATTCACAAATTTGTCTGATAACAGAAAGTGGTGTGTGATTGTGTTTATTTTACTAACCAGTATATTCACAGCAATCACTTCCAAATATCTCTCCAGTAAAGATGTGTTAATTACAAAACAGACAAGGTCTTCTATTATATTAAAGCTACTAACAAGAAGACAGCAGGAATCACACATGTAAATAGCATCATCAACCCCTATTTTAGTCCTCTGTTTTGATCTGTGAGTTGCGCATAGACCAAAGGTGCTATTAAAGACTCAGTATATGAAATAGGCAGCATTATATGAACAAAATTTATTCAACAAGAAAACAGACCTTTAACATGAATTTAACAAGCCTGAGAAATTATAAACTCTCATATGCTGCAGATTCATGCAGTGATAATAAACAAAAAAGGAAAGTAAGAGGTTTCCTTAAGCTAGCCAAACTGCTAATGGTTTTGTTATAAGCTGTCTGCTGTTGAAATGACCTCTGAAAAGTCTGAAGACACTTATACTACAAAAAATTAAATGGTCAGAGTGGTGAAAGAGTTACACTATGGAAGTGCATTTAAAAAAAAAATCTACCTTCATATTTCTGGAAAATATTCCAGTGACATAGACTTTTGTTTAACTTTATGTCTTTACAGAAAAGGAATTTAGCATGAAGCTTGGAAACTGTAGTTTTCACTAAAACAGTGAATGCTGCATTAGGTAATTTAAGTACGATGAAAGCTTAAAATTTTTGGATGAGAAATATTGACTTCTTACAACAAAAATCTAAGGAACCGAGTGGGGTTTTATGCTGCTTTTAATTAATCCTTAGAGGTTCTTTGTTCAAAATACTGTGTCTAAAGTTTCCATCATAGAATACGGGGTGACCATGTTGCTGTTATCTGATTGCATCATGCTGTACTTCAAAATACACAAATGTAGAGAGGAGATTTCAGCTTGTACACACCTCCCAAGTGCTCACTGGGCTTTTTTCTTGAATCTTACTGTGGCATAATTAACACCTACTTCACCCATTGCTCATTAGTACACTGGACATTAATGAGTCAATTTGTTTTGATATAATCCTCTAAAGGAGAGACTGATTTGTGTTCACTGTGAAAAAAGCAATTACATTTCATAGAAATGAATATGTAGGATTTATTGTTGTATTTATGTTTTTATTGCGTATTAGGTCTAAATTTAGCCTTCAGGTTGTTGAGCATGTTAGTTGCTTTAAGATGGTTGCTATAGCGATAGCAGCAAATTCCTTTAATCTTAGTGTAGTTAAAGTATTTAGTTACCATTGGTCGTCACAGTGCAACTGAGACGAGAAATATAATTCACATGCGTACTTTTTGTACCCCCCTGAGATAGTAGAAATTACCATTTTATCCCGTTCTAAAACTTAATATTTGTGATTTTAATATTTCATACCACTTACTGTTAGATTGATATTTGTTCTACTTAGGAAATACTTGCATTTCATTCCTTCAGGAGGACAGTTAGAGTGGGCAGTGCTTTCCCATACAGTTATTACCTGAAACAGAATGAAAATTACTTTTGGTCAGAATTAAGATGATAGAGTAATGTTCAGTATCACGTAGAAATATTTTAGCAGCTAATTATCTTATTTTAATGTGAAATATATCCAAACATATCCTTGAGAATATAAACTGAAATGTTGCGTTTATTATCCAAACCAAGTTTAACCATTTTTTTATTTTGGGTTTTCTTTTTATTTTACATGACTCAAGTCCCAAAACAAATCCATGCTGGATAATGCCTTTCATTCTTGGATAGGCTCAACCTTATCTAGTGAAGTTTTCAGTTAAAGTCGACGCTAGAAGCATAGCTGTTAGTAAGTTATAAAACAGCTCCTTTTGATTATAGTGTACTGCCAAGTTCATGTTTCTTGCTCCTGAGAGTAAATTTTTTCTTGCTTGGGTTTTTTTCCTCTTTATCTAGATAGTCTCTAGAGAACTTGTGGTGTGGAATTTTTTTTGCTTTGACTCTAATTTATACTGCCTGTTTGTTATGGTTGGGCATTTCCAGGTGTTCATAAATTAGAGCATCTGGTTGAAATGTAACACAGAGGGATATATAAAAAGTCACAAGTGTTTTGATATAGAGAAACATCTGATAATAATTAAAAAGGAAAAAATACAATTATTTTGTATGTTACCATGAAGAATGTATATGTATATAGAATCTTTTTGAGAATTAAGGGTTTTTAAAATACAATTCCTTTTTTGTAGCATTAGAATAAATGTCGTGCTTCTGCTGCATATTAATTCTGAATTGTGTTTTGGTTGTATTATTGTTTAGAAAAAATTGTTACTGTTAACTCATTTTAATGGGGTCACAACCTAACATGTACAATTAAAAAAATCTTTAATATAAGTTTCCTGCATGCAGTTTTAAGACATGACATGCAGATGGATCTGGCCAGTCATCTGAGAGTCCAGGCAATAGCTATTAGTGGCACTGAGTCACTCAACATGATTGAAATAGTTGGGTCTCAAAAGTAAATACAAAAGGTAATAAGTTATTAGGCTTTCTCAGTTTATACTTTGAGATTGTTTTCTTTTGTTATAAATACTTGCCAATTTAATTTTATTTCCACATGAATGACTCCATAAAAAATTGCACGTGTATTTGGCTGTGAATATTTGTGTAGAGAGGAAAATTCTAGAAGAAGGTGGGAGACTCAATGTTGCTTTCTCTGCAGACTTTCAGTGATTTAGCTGATTTCTTGTTTGTTCAACATAAAAGATCTGGTTTAGGTCTAATTCCTCAAAATATCAAACCAGCCATGTAAATGTATCTGTTGTATTATGGAGAGGAAAAGCATAAAAATGATTGTATAAAAGTTGTTAAAAGGAGATTTAAATTACTGTAATGAACTAGAATAACTCTTCAAACATATGCAGACAAGATGCCTGCAATGTATCTCTGGTACTGTTTCTGTGGATGTACAAGGCTGTAAGTGCACTGGTCCAGTTAAAAGATGGGCCTAAATGAGAAATCTTATCTTGCAATTATGAATCCATAATTTCAGGTACCCGGTAAGAGTGGGTTTGACTGTACTGTTGGTATGTTCTCAATTGTCTCATCTCACATAGATGTTGGATAGGGGTGTGGGGGTTTTTGTATGGGGCCATGAAATCCTATTTCCAAAGATTTTCATAGACAAATTCAGCACAGGACAGAATAAAAATCAGTGATGGTTTTACTTTATTTGCAATGAAAAAGCGCTGAATACTACCTACTGTGTACCTTTAAATCATAAATGACCTTGGTTTTCTTTTACTCTGTTTTTTACTCCTGAGCATGACACTGACAAGGACTTTTTAATCCATCAGACAGTTTATAGACCCTTCCGTAGTCACAAGAAGCAAAAAGCATCTGACTAGAAGGGAATACATGGGGCAAGTTCCTGGCTGGCTATAATTTTGTTGTCATTTCAAGTATTGTGGTAGTATAATTGATGTGACAGGACTGGGCTTTAGACTCAGTCCCTTAGCTTGTGCTCACTTTCAGTTTTAGACTCTCTCTGTCATTCATTTTGATTGGATGAGATTTAGGTGACAAACATATGCATACCTTTGAAGCTTAGAGTAAGTGTACGTAAAAATTCAGTGTTATATGATGATATTATGTATAAAAAACTTACAGCTCCATGGAAAAGGTAATAATTGGTGTCACCTTACAATACAAGGTAGTGTAGTGTGCTGATAGCATAGCCAGCAGGAGGCTCTTTTTTATTAATATTATAATTAAATGATTTTCTGGATAAAGGCCAAAAACAGATGAGAGTTGATTGTGCCTTGTCCACTGTTGCTTGGCACTATTAGTTGCGTTTTCTAAAAAGAATTGACTTGACATCTTGTTTTTACAGGTTGTTATTGATGCCTTCAGATTGATCAATGCTAATATGATGGTCTTGGGACATGAACCAAGACAAACAACTTCAAATCTGGGTCACTTAAACAAGCCATCTATCCAGGTAAAGCCAGTGTTGATAGTTCTGTAAATTGCAAGATTTATTCAGCATTTTTGGGGAAAGGTACCTAAGCTACAAATTCTTCTCTCTCTAGCATTTCTCTGCATGTGTTTTATAATTGATACGATTCATCAGTGCAGTTATGTATGTAAAGGGTTTAAAAATTGAACCCTAAATTAGCTACCTAAGTATGAATTCATGTATAAGTACTGTAAAGGTTAAAGTACAGATTTATGGAAATGCAAACTTTTAGAAGTGCTATTGATGTCATGTGATGCAAGATAGGTACTGTTTTCAGTACTGCAATTTAAAAACTACCTCGACATCTCAGCTGTCCTAAAGATAAATTATTCTGAAGCAAATCATGGAAAAAGTTCCCTCTTCATTAATAATCTTGTCTTTCTACTGTATTCTTGTATAGGTTCTTGCTTATTGTATAATCTAGATTTAACCTTGTGTTTTAAATAATTAATCTCTGATTTTTATATAATGCAGTAATTTGCTGAGAAAATTGTGGAGTAGGAAATTCAATGGGTAAATAGGATATTTGATTGGCTTCAACTGTAATGTTCTTTTGAGTATGTTGTCTTATATTTCTTTGAAAGCATTTGTGAAACTTAGATATACAAAATTTGATTTCTGAAGTTGATTTTCACTGGTGAGATAAATGTTGGTCTTCAGTGAAGCAAACCTTTATTTTGAGAAATAGTTTCTGTCCTGAAACAACTATCCCTTGGAGTGATTACTGTTTTTATCTCTGTCATTCTTCTGCTTCAATGTTTTTTCCTTTTTTCTCTCCAGAAAACTTCTTCCCCTTACTAAACGTTCTAAAAGGCATGTGTACTTGCAACCACGAAGCCTAATTCCTGCTCTTTTGATCTGTTACTTGAACAGTAAAAGTAATATTTGCTAGATAAATGTCCAAGAAAAAGACTGTACACTAGTCACAGTAAAACTGAAATAAAGGCTAAACTTCTGTTCTAAGAGAGCCATCCTTTGGAAGCTACTAGATCACCATACCCCTGTCTTTCTTTTTATTACAAATGCATTGAAACCCTTTACTAGCTGTAAAAATGCTAGCCCAAAAAATAAGACGATTAAAGAGTCTGCTTCAGGAGGTGGTGGTTGTTGTTTTACTTTTGATTTTTTTGAATCGGTAAAAACTGTGAACTATAATGAGTATGAAATAGGCAGCTAATACTCTTGATTGGATATAGGCAAGCCCATGCTTGCATGTTTCAGGGCTTTTTTAACTGAGCTTTTCTGGACCATGTGTAATGACCTCCCTTGTAAACCCCTGTAGTATTGTTCAACTTCCTTATTTTAAGATCCCTGTCCCTACAGCATGGCATGGTGATGGGAGTTTGGGGTTTCTGTTGTTAGGGTGGGTATTTTTCGTTTGTGTTAGTTTTTTTGCAAGTTGGCAGTGAGCTGTTGGAAATGTCACTGTTAAGCTAAGAATCATAGTTTAAAATGATACTCTCGTTATTAAAACTGCAAGGGTTCTTGCAGTTGTTTTGCTTTTATTCTAAGGTCATGAATAAAATTCTGACCCAATTGAGGTCAGCAGCAAACTTAATATTGATTTCAGCTGGGCTAGAAGCAAGGATTTTAAAACATTCCTTAAAGTCTCAGGAATGAGAATAGTACATGGTTTGTTTTCATTCCTTTTTTGTGGTTTTTCTTGTGTTCCCTTATCAGCAGCTGGTTCTACCTGCTCTTTGTGCATCTGATTTGTAAGGCTTGTTGGAATTATGGTTTCCATTTGGAACAAAACGTATGAAGAACAAGCTTTGCTTTAAAGTGTTTTATAGGTTTTATTTTAACCTGTTGCAGTGGCTAAACTACAACTGCTGTTCAGTTTTGAAGTGGAACAGCTGTTTACCTTTTACATTGCTTCACTCTTTAAAAGAGCAGTTTTGGAAGGGGAGAGGATAGTGGGGGAAGGGAAAGATGTTTGTCAAATTTTAGGAGCTTTAGAAAACTCCATAAGCATCTACAACTGAGTTTAAACACAGACCACAAAATATCATATGCAGTCATTTTGAGTGGGATAAGAAAATGGCAGTGGAAACTAATTGCTAATAGTTTGAACCATAAATTACTTTATTGATGATAGAACCTATATTTTACAGTTTCAATTATGTGACACAAGTGAAGGTTATCTGTAACTGGTTCTTGTAAATGTAACCATTCAAGCAGTTTTGTATCTTTGTATATGTGTTTGCAAAAGAAATCTGTTTAAAGTGTATGTGTAAGAACATTTTCAACTTTCATACAGATAATTTTGAAATGCTGAAATACTAAGTTGTGTAAGATGCAAATACACATTAACTCTGTATAGCACTGAAGAATATATTTAAACATTAATAGGTGGAATGATTAGAACATAAGAAATATTTACCACTAATTATGTGTGGGTTTATCATATTTCTAAGTGAAATATAATAAATTTCTAAGTGAAATGTATAAGATTTTATTTGGAAAATAGACTATTTTAGTAGTGATGAGGATTTATCATAGAATTTTAACCCCTCACACCCCACAAATATTAATCCAACTCACCCTTAAGGCATAAATGTAAGAAGAAAAAAAAAAAAAAAGTAATGCACATGAGGAAAATAGAAGATACATGCATATAGTTGTCACTTAACCTAATCTTAGTTGATCGGATTGTGATGTACAAGTTTAAGGACAAATTTGCAAAGAGCATAATTATAAGGAGAAAGTCTTTTTTTCATTTAAAGTTAAAAAAAAAAAAAAAGCTTTAATACCCAAGGTTAATTTGATGTGCAGTCTAACTGATACCTGACATGTTTAATCTCTGCTTCAGCTACTCTCTCTTTGTATTGTACCTTAGAGAAGGAACTTTGGAGTGTTGGCAGTGATTGTAAATAAAGATAGCCAACATTCTTTTGTTTGCAACAGGAAGAGCCTTATATTTTAATAAAAATGATAATTTATTGAGGGAAGAAGGATTTGAGAGAAATATGTTTGTGCATATGTATCGGTCAAATGTTTGCAGGCAGTTACCACTTTTTTCTCTGATAGTTGTTACTGTGTGAAAAAACTCCATGGTTTAGAAATAGAAAATGTAACTGTCAGTTAACGAACACTAAAAGAGAAATAGGAACAGGTATATTTACTTTATAAGTACTTATAGTCTGTGTATTTGTTTCTTTGTGGTTTTCTTTTTATTTAAGTGATGTTTGAAGATGGCTGTATTTAAATTAAGTCTTTTTTTCTAATACTTATTAATTTCAGATGTGAGTAATTTTTATACAAACTTTTCCCTGAATTTTACAGGCACTAATTCATGGACTAAACAGACATTATTATTCCATCACCATCAACTACAGGAAGAATGAACTAGAACAGAAGGTAATTGTTTCAACTTTTATTCAGAGGACAAAGAACATTATACAAACTATTTAAGATTTGTGGCAATATTCTGATTTCAACTGCTGATACTTTCAGTAGGTGTTTTAACTCTCCTGGAGTAGATAGCTTCTCTGCCAGAAAGCACTTAAATGTGTAGTCATGATGATGAAACAAACCTTCCAAAACCACATTCTATTATTCATATAAATAGCTTGACATCCTTTTTGACCACATTTTTATGGGAAGTCCTCATGCTGTTTTCTGAACTTAACAGGTTTGTGCAAAGTTTTAAGTTGTAAGTGATGAAGCTAAAAGACATACTAGCTGCCTTAGGTTTTCACAGGCTGGAATTCCTGAAGCTATAAGACTGTATTTTCCAAAATGGAATTGTATAACCAAGGAATCTCAAATTTTTATTGGCTATAATCACTTTGACAGAAGGGGCTTCCAGTTGGTATGAATGGAGCTGCCCAAGACTTCACTGAATATCAGGAAGTTGTGATGTCATGCATTTACAGAAAAAAATGTTGTTCAGTTACTGATAAAATATTGTCAGTTACTTTTGCATCAAACTTCCACAGTTACCAATAAATCTAGCTTGACATCTCAACCAAGAAAGAAACAGAAAGAAGAAAAAAAAAGCTTATTTATCATCTTACAGAAGTTAATTCTTGAAAAAACAGATTCTGTCTTCCGTTATGCCTATGTTCATGGTCTTTTTAGGGTTATAAATTGATATCAGAGTTGGAGTTTATGATTAAAAGGTTAGAATAGTTTTCTCATTAATTTTGAATTTTAGAGGGCTAGAAGTAATTAGAAAAATGCATAACGGAAGAATGTGTATGCAAATCGGGGAGTTTAAAAGAATTTGTGAAATGCAGTATCAGGCATTCAAAACCTCAGTGTTACTGAAAAGAGTAACTGATTCAACAAAACCAGTTCTCAGTAAATGTCCATGAAGCTTTTGGAGGTTATTGTTTCCATTCAAATACAACAGTGTAGTCAATCCAGTCTTTTCTGAAGTTCCCGGTGTGTATTTTATTTATTGTCTTTACATATGTAAGTTACTACCTTCGCGTGTAGGAGAATAATCTTGACTGAGTGAGGAGAACTTTAATCTGTGAGGCAGCAACTATCTCCACACATCTTTGATAAGACAGGTTCATACATATCTTAAACCCCTCTCATGGTGGTGCTGATCTGATCTGTTATCTCCATCTGTAGTAAGAAGAGTACATGCTTCATGTATTAGATGAGGACCCCATCACACTAAACCATAATTGTAAAATCCAAATAGCCTAGCTAAACTGTGTATGCAGTTTGCCTACAACTCTTTCTGTCAGTAACTAAGATCTTGCTAATGAAAATTATGACACAAACTTCCTACTTGGTTCATATGTTCCAAAACCAGGTTTCTTTGGAAGCTGTACACAGGGTGAAACAGGAACTTTTGTTCAGCTGATGACAGTTACAGGACGTACAGGTTCTCAAAGATGTAGTAAATATTTGCAAATTGAAGGCAAGATGGAAGTGTTTGCTGAAAGCGTCCTCCCTACAGTCCTCAAGTGTGCAGAAGATCCACAAAATATACTTTTTTTTTTTTTTTTCCCCCCCAGGAAAATCAGGAAACTGCCTTTGTAGTTATTCCTTCACTCTTTCAGGAACGACATCAGAGTGTCAAGCAAAACATTTCAGATATTTCTAATAGTCCCTGCGTTTATCACCATCAAAACTCTGCATCACTTTATCATGTTGTTTTTAGGGCTGTTTATACAAGGACAAACACACAAGTCATGCTTTGGCTTTTGAAGTTCACTTCATCACAACTGTGGCAGCTGCCTGCATACAGTTTAGCATAATCAGTGAGGCCTAAATAACTACTTCATATATTTAATCCAAGCATTAAAATATTTTTCGGCTTCATCAGAGGCCAGTAGCTGTAACCATTCCTTATTTGGCAGTTAAAATATTCACCTTTCTGTTAGCTCTCCTACAGTTCAGTTGTGCATTTTCACTCTACAGTAAAAATAAAAAATTACAAAAGAAAACCCTAAGTATTCCTGTCAAAGTAAGTGTGGCCCTGGTTTACATGACTCATTTTCGTATTTAGGGTTCAAGAAGTTTGATCTTTAAAAACTCATGCAAAATCTATCATGTGTTCTAGCAGAATAGTTGATTACTGTATTAAAACATTGTAAGATCAATACATTTTTCATTACATTCTTACTCTTATAAATTGTTTTTCTGTCAAAGAGATCTTCGTAGTATTATGAATGTATTTTATAATGAATGCTTTAAAGAGGTTTTCTTTTGCAGATGTTGCTAAATTTACATAAGAAGAGTTGGATGGAAGGTTTGACACTTCAGGACTACAGTGAACATTGCAAACTCAATGAAACAGTAGTGAAGGAGATGTTAGAATTAGCTAAAAATTACAACAAGGTATTCATATCCCATAACAATAGTATAACTGTAGCTGTGTTTATGAAGACATGTATTACTTAATTTCAGAAGCTGATAATTAAGCCTTACTCAGAAAGAATTTTAAAGTACTAGACTATAAGAACAAAATGATTGTTGCAGGAACTTTTCTGGACCTTGGTATTTTTTGGTTTGTATAATCCGTTTTCAGCAAAGAGTTTCTTGGGATCTGGTTAAATTAGGCACAAGTGTGGCTTTAATGGCCTTGTGGAGACTGTGTTTCTTATTATTCAACTTTGTATTATTTCCATATGAAGTTGCCTATTACCTCTTGGCTTTGCTTGCCTGACTTTTTGCCCTGAACTAACAAAGTGTTTAATTACATGTTTTCCTTTGAAATTTGAGTAATCGCATCAATTTTGTATTTTTACTTAGTGAATAGACTATAAGGTTCCTGTAGATCAAAATACGCGATTGATTGTATTCTTCAGTCAAGGACTACTTGACCCGGTATAGCAGAAAAAAGGTTATTTATCTGTATCATTCCAGTAGATAGATACTAAGTATTTAGAATCATTGTAGAGCCTAATTCATTGTTCCTTTTAGGTTAAAAAGTTACTATTGATGTTGTAAGAAAGAGGAATCAGTTATTTGTACTGTTTTAATACTGTCACTTACACGTAGTAATATTTTTTTTATAAATACTAGATCTCAGCAAGCATCCTCTGAGTAGTAAGCATGTCAGTCATTTTTGATGAGTGCTATTTTTTTAATAAAAAATTCAATATTACGTTCACTAGTTAAGTGAGTGGATTTACTTTATAAAGACACTGTGTTTGAAAGCAATGGAACATTTATAAAATATGTATTAAAATAAGTGACTTTAAACAGTATAAAAATTTATTGTGATCAAACCTCCAGTAGCTGAAACAATGAAGGTAACGTTATTTTTGGTTCTGCTTTTCTAAGTTAACTATCTTCAATTATGTTTAAGTATTGATACCACTCATTTAAGATTTTTGCTTAAAAACAGTTTTGTAAATATCTGACAATAAAACCATTCATGAGTATTTGCCTTGATCTTTTGCACTAACACTTAGTAATTAAAGCCACGTCTGCTGAAAAGCTGAAGTACCTTTCCTTTTGACTTTCTGAAATGTGTTGCTGTTTGATTTTTTTTTTTTCTCTTTTTTTTCTTTTTTTTGAGAAAGAGAATTATATTTTGAGAATCTTGTGGCTTGGGAAAAAAGTAAATGAAATCTGAAACACTGACCTTTTCTCTGTTTCTTTCACAGGCTGTTGAAGAAGAAGATAAGATGACACCTGAACAGCTGGCAATAAAAAATGTTGGCAAGCAGGTGAGGTGTGATGAATTAGAGTGAGGTGGAATGATACGCTTCGTTCATTCTAAATATTAATTTTTTTACATGTGCGTAGGTGATTTTAGTTCTACGTGCAAGATAGTCTCAATGCTCAGAAAAATGACTTTATTTTTGTTGAACATTGTTGTGTAAGGAACAAGGCTTTTGGCTATAGATCATTGGCAGAATATGTGCGAGTTTCGTTCTACATGGTTTGTATTACATGCTAAGGAGCAGTGTTGAGATTTGCTAGTTTTTCGTCTCCTTTTTTTTTAACTTCTTTTCAAGAAAGGCATAAAGATATCCAAGTCTCTGTCAGAGAGGCCAAAACTGTGAAGACTTTCAAAAAATAATAATTGAAAAAAGTGGGAGTGTTGGTTCTACATTATCTTGGCTAAAGAACCACCTCACCCCTTATTCTCAGTTCATGATCACACTGACAGTGCTTAGCTCCAATACACAGGTATGGAAGTAAGCTGTGTTGCTTTGTATTGCTGTTGAAGGAAGGCAGTTTAGGACCACAGCTGAACCTGAAAACACCCACTCAATTCATTCTATCCATTTGCAATGCCAGGTTATAGCATCTTTATAGAAGACTCGACTGAAAACTATTTCTACATTAGATTTCAACATAAAGGTTAAGAAAATGTGCTTTGGTGAGGGAGAGCAAGACAAGTTTTTAAGAGGTAGTGTTTAAATTCAAGAAGGGCAGTGGAAACAAGAAATAGCTTTAAAAATATCCAGTGTGTCCTTAAAGAACCAGTATTTACTGTATTGCTAGTAGCAGTAGAAGAATTTAAAAGATTCTGGATTGCTCTTATGTGTCAGCTTCTAGCAGCTATGTCGTAACACATCTGCACTATTGTTCAGTCACTCGTGTATTTCTGTAGCATTCAGAACAATGGAGTTTATGCACACCTACACATACATAAATATATATATATATATATATTTAAAAAAATACATGTAAAAAGGGTTGTATTTTAATGGTTATGATGTCATCTCAAACAGAATTTGAGCTTTAGTAGTTGTTTAAATCATTATGCGTACATGAAAAAAATTCTATTTTTATATAGTTCTTTAAAAAGAATTTTTTTCTTGATAAAATTTTTGTGTTTTCTTTAAATTATAAAATGGTTCAGTTAAGTAATTTCCATGTGATTTTTTTTTACACAACTTAACCTTTGTAAACTGCTCACAATAGGGATATTACATTGTTAGGTTGCATAATTTGCTAGGAACAGAGAGAATATTGGAGAAATGTATGATCTTTGAAAATGAGGTATTTAAGAAGGAAGTGTACACAGATTTTTCTAGTACACTTTTACGTAAACTTGATGGGTTTGTTACATTTTGACAATAATTCTTTTTTTAAAAGTTAAAATTCCCAAGTGATTGTCTTCTGTATTTTATTTACACACAAGAATGCTACAATAATACTACAGTAAAGTTTAGACATGTTTTTTAAATATGCCTAATAATTTTGCAGTATTTGGAGATTAGTTACTTAATCTCAGTTCTGAAACTGGAGAAGTGCATGAGTGTGGTTTTCAACCAGAAATAATCTTATTGTTCTATGCAGATGCCCACAAATGCCCACATCAATTGAGTAATAGTGTGTGGGGATGTGTATTTTCAGAATGCTGCTCAGTCTTAATGTTCAACTTTTCAGAGTATTTGAACACAGCATTGTGCATTTTTTAATTTTTTTAATGGGTATAAATATGCTTATTTTCTTGCAGTCAACACAACTATTCAAAGAGTGTGTTAGATCAGATTTGAGTCTTTACAGGATTAAAACACATTTGTGCAAAGATCTGAAAACAAATTGCAATGTACCAGAACTAAGATTAAAATATTGGTCTTAGTGAGATGTATAGTAAATTTCACATATTGTCCCTAAAACTCACAGCTGTCATGATTACTTTTCACATGCTGGATGGAAATTTATTTCCTAAACCTGCCCTCATGAGTGATAGTGTGGACTAGTAAAATCATACTCATGGAAATTCAGTAATTTGTTAGGTCTTGTCAGAATGCAAAATTTAGGAGCATTACTGGCCTGTGTTCCTTAACTCACAATCACCTTAAATAGACCTGAAGTAAATTAAATCCTTCAGAGATGTGTTCCAGTCATTTCTCTCATGGCATCCTTTGTATTTCAGGACCCCAAACGTCATTTAGAAGAGCATGTGGATGTGCTGATGACCTCAAACATTGTCCAGTGTTTAGCTGCTATGTTGGATACAGTTGTATTTAAATAACTGATTCACTGTTTGTGATGCTTTCTGTGTATATTTGTTTATTGTTTCTAATACTCACAAAACAGAGACTGTTGAGGCTATATTTGATTAAACAGAGACATCTGACTTCATTTGCAATGTAAGTGCAGCACTGTAACACCTTTCAGTCTTTAATTGTGCAGTTGCTTCAGTTTCTTTTTGTCAGGGTCTTTACAGATTCCAAAGCATTCAAGAACACAATGTGGGAAAAAATGTATTACATTTTCATTTAATATTTGGGGGGAAAAATCAGTAGTACATATATATTTTGATTGTTGCAACATAATAAAAATACATTTACAAACCTGTCTTAAGTTCTGGAAGGCCTTTTTTGAGAAAGGATGATGGGAATTAACAGTGTAGGAAAAGTGTTGGTAAAGGTTTATTTCTACCCACTGTAAAACTACTGAGACTTTAATTTCTAGGACAGCAAAATGAAATTTGGCTCCCATTGATTACCAGATATTCTCACTGAGATTAAGAAAAAATATTTTAAAATTTGTAGTAGAGCTGAATTCTGAGAATGTACAAAAACTAAAATGCTGAAAAATTCCCAGCTGACTCCTTCTCCATATTATTCAACCCTAATATCCACAGAAGACAATTGACCTTAAGAAAATGAATTCAGTTATGCTGATAACTGAATCACACAACTCTCACAAGCAGTGTCATAAATAGCAGTATTCTGAGAATAAACATTCAAGTGATGGAGGCTGTTCTAGGTTATATGAACCCTCCCTCCTGCGAAAGAGAATGTACATGAGATGTCCATATATATAAATATAGGGAAAGAGTCCTAACTACAATACGGTATTTAAAACCCTTTCCACTGACTAGGGAGGGAGACACTCATAGGAAGGCAGGTGGGTTGGCCACTTGGTTTTAAGCGGGCAAACCCAAATAACTAGGTTTGGGGAGTGATTTTGGGTTTTGGGCAGGGGTCTGGTTGGGTTTTTTGTTTCATTGTTTTTTAAGTATTGGGTGGTACTTAGGCTGATTTGGTTCTTTTGTCTGGGCAGAAGTGTTCTCTTTCTGTGTCACTCACAATATTTTGTTTACTGTTTTGGGTTTGTTTTTTTAAATAAATGGCAACAGTTGTGGCAGACATATATTTTAAAACTCAATACATCATTTTGTGTTGAAGATTATTTTTTAAATTTGACTTCTTGCATAGTAAAGAAATAACCTGTAAAATTGTCTTATTTTTCACTTTGTGCCCAGTAATTTTCTATTTACTTATTACCATTCAAGGGTTTTTCTTTTGTTTGGAGTTTCTTATTTAGGCCTTTTAATATACTATTTTAGAATAACACTCTCTCAAAGTATATTTAGCATGCACTTACTTCAGAGGGAAACATGCAGATTTTTGCAGCTGCCCTCCTTATGGCCTTCCCTCTGCCCCCACAGTAGGCAGTAGAATATCAGACTGGGAAAATGGAGACATACCAAACTACATTTGCCTGCATATAGTTAAATGGAAGTGCTTTCTGGCAATTTGCACTAAAAACCTGCCTATCATCGAGGAGGGCTGTATTTGGGCCTTGCTGTTGTCCAATGTGTGCACCCCAGGGTGAGATGGGGCAGGAGCTGATGGGGGAGGACCTACCCCAGGGCTTATCTGCCAGCGGGGCTCTGCATCCCTGCCGCTATCTACTCCCACACACACGTGTAACACCACGAGGAAGACATAGTTTGGCAGGTCGTGGGTAACATGGCACTGCAGAACAGGAGAGGAGCTATCGCAGTGCTGCAGTGTATACATGCGTGAAAGGCCGGTGCAAGCAGGGAGACAAACCAGGGAGTCTTGCATATTCTACATTAATTTTGGCAAATGTACATCGTGCAGAGGGTAGCTGAAGGGAGTCTGTTGGAGATGCAGATCTGTAGTATGAGCTTGTGCTGTGGTACCCTGCTTTCTATCCACTCCTCAGTTTGACTTGGAGGCATAATTCTCCCTTTACTAAGATGTTTCATGAATAATCAAAAGGCTTTTTCGGGGCATCTTTCCTCATTTTTGTCCAGTGCTTTAGGAGCCGCACAGCGGATTTGGAAGAACGTGTGCATGCAGTAACCTGAAAAGCAGCAGCCCCTATACCATCTTGGAGGAAGAAAGAGGTTTTCAAGCAGCCGCCTTCTGAGCCTCCAGCCGCAATGGAGCAGACCTTCATTAGCAGCTTGACCCCTCGTCACCTGTCAGCACGAAGGACGGGCATATTGTATTAGCAAACCTCTCTCCTTCTTTCTGTGACGATTCTATAACACCACCTGCCATTGCATATCCCCCTATTATACCAGTTTAGGAGTTGTGCACGGAAGATTTTTGGCATATATTAGCACTTCCATGTGATTGGCAGTATACCACTGAATTCATTGCAGCTCCGCATCTATATGGGTGTAGCTCTGTAATTCAGGGCAGCGTTTCCCAGGGTTTATCTCCGTTTCAACTCATCTCCTGCCTATATGAGTCCATTACCTTTGCTGGTTTTGAGCAGGGAAAGGGAGGGGTGAGCACACTGGCAAAACAAGTATCAGAAATATTAGTTAGGACTGATACTAATAAAACTATTTTCTTAGCACTGAAAGGAGAAGGTGTGGGATGGAAAGTTGCACACGCTGTACCACCCGACTGCGAGTAAAACAGTGAACTGCTTGCTTTTTGCTTCATAAATTATTAGAATAATTTCCTTGCAGCGTGTGCGTATGCTGGCTTCTGTGAAACACCAAATAACTGAACTAGCTCATGGTTTAAGCAACAGAAAAATAAATGGCCATGGGATGTAAGAGCGTTGAAATACGCATTCTGACAAGTCATCCTGGTTCTAGTATTCTCTGGATTTGAGTTTGTGAAGTTTCAGCCTGGCTTCAGACGATGACATGCTGTTCTTGGGTTTATTATGTGATGGTCCAGGCTGTGTTAACTATCGGTGGAATTTGAAGCTGGCTGCTGATGTCACCTGGAAAGAGACGGGGTCTGTAAAATAACTTGAGGTCCAAACCACTAAGGGGAAAATACTAAGGCAAATGGAACAGGAGAGCTCCTCCCCGGGCAAAGAAATGGTGCTTTTAAAAACTCACAAGCTTGCTTAGGAAGGGAGTTTAAGACTGATGCTTTTCAGAGGCGGGGTGGGAAGCGAGTCCCCCGAACTCTTCAGGCGCATCTTCACACCTCGGAGGCCCCGCTTTCCGTTAGCCCGAGGCTCAAGAGGGCACGTTGCGGGACCCGCCGGCCGGTCCCTCCCGCT